TGTAATTTTGTTACTTGTAACGGATTACGTAAAAGTCCACATACAGGGATGACATGCACAAATCGAGCTCACAAAAACAAGTACATGAATGCTCGCTACACAAATCACTGGCTCTGTCGGTAGTTTTTTTTTTTTACTTTTATACCCTCCTTTCTGGAAGTAGATTTACCTCAGTGATAATCGCAGCAATCAATAATTTTACGAAAAAGCTATTTTTTAAAGTAATATTTCCTTTTCTCGACATTGATTTGGAATGGTACAAGGAATACATATCTTAGTAAACATAACATTCCCGCAGTAATAATTTGCGACGGCCAATGTAACTACCTGATCCTCTGAACTTCAGAGCCCTGTTGCCGCCTTTCTGTATGGCCAACTTTATGTAGCAATGAATCAACAGCTACAGAGCGGCAGCACGTCGTTTCACAACATGACTAAATATAGTTATAAGTAATTAATTTGTTGGGCGTAACCTAACAAAATAAAAAAAGTATATATCATTGCCATTTTTGCACTAATTTTAAAATGCAGCAATAACATTATTCAAAATGAGCCAAACGTATAGCATTCATTTTTTAGCTCTTTCGGGTTTTCTTAATTTAAGTTCACCTCCTCCTCTAGTCTTCTAGTTCAGTGCAAAGCACACACGGTGTGTTTTTCGTGTTCGTCGTTAGGTGCCATCGGTATTGTGTATCGTCGGTGCCTTCTGTGAGCTCGCCCTTTGTTCGGCCGTAGGACGTTTACAATGTTTGGCCACCAAAAGTCGTCACAGCAAACCAAGGAATTCATGGGCAACGTGTACGCATAAGTGAGCCAGAGGGAAACGGGACCCTTCATTACATCCGTATACCGGCAGCGAGGTCACCGGCCTAAATGAAAAGGAGCAGGTATTGCGACCGCGATCCCTGGGTTCTGCTGATAGAGCTTTCGCTATGCGTATTCTGAGCTGAGGTGCGCTAATACGCCGCCCCCCCCCCTCCTCGTGCGCCTAGCAGAAACTGAACGCAATCCAAATAGAGTTTGACTTGGCGCCGTATAGCCTGCGCGTGCTCCTATATTTTTGTGTTTCGCCCAGTGCTCTGATTTTTCAGTAACAGAAGAGTTTCTCCATTCATGACCTCAAAGCTGTGCAGCCATGGTAAAATTCAAGGCATTACTTAAATTGTTGTCGCATATCTGTGTCGGTCGAAAGACAAATAAAATTCGACGTGATCTAACACGGTGAAATTATCTTGTTTAACTGTCCGAGCACTTCAGTCAAAGAGTTGGCTTTAAATTAAAAACGAATAAAACATTTGGAAAGAGACGCCACTGTGCTTGCATACTCGATCGGCTATTGAAACTCAGCTACCTCAACCGGCATTCTCATACGAAATGAGTAACAGTAGCAGATGCGTATCAGTCACGCCAAATCCAAACTGAAACCAAAACCAAGGAAGTCGGGTCCAACTTGGCGCGGTTATACAAATGTCAGTTCTGCCCCCGCCCCCCTGATAGCTTTCTCTCATTGCCACAGAGAGACGTCCCCGAGTATAGCCTATCATTTTCATGGCGTATTAGAAGTGAAAAGTTCTCGTGCGCGGCTTCGATCGGCGTTCAAGCAGCTCGCGGAACCACGCACTTCCAAAGAAGAGCTCTGCGGCCGCCCCATTTTGCGACCCGGACGACCCCTGTCAGCCAGAAATTTCTGCGAACCTGATAAGCTGTGGAAACCCGGTCAGCGCGACTCCTCACCTGTGTTGTTCTTTTGCAGTCTGTCGGACGTTCTTCAAAGTTTTTGGTTTATTTGTCCGTTCAGAATGCTTACTCTTTTTGTATTATCTTCCTCTGAGAGAACCAGAGAATACCAGGTCTCGTCGACAGCTCGGCCTTCGCAGCATGCTGACGAAGAAAGCGAGCATCAAACAGTTCGCGACGTGGGCCATTCGATGTTCTTCGATGATTTAATAATAATAATAATAATAATTATTCATGAGAGAAGAATTACCAAGTTCAGCTTCGGACCTGGTCAAAGCCGGCAAGGGCTTGTGGGACCAGATCCAGCAAGAGAAGAATCAAAGGGCGAGCTCGCATATTGTCACACAGTTTGTAAAAATAAAAGAAGAGAAGAAAATTACACAAAAAATTGTCATTGCTCCCGCAGGACGCACGCAGTTAGCCGCTGGGCCAGCAGATCAGTCGGAGCACTAAATAAAGAAACGGCACTCATCGGCGCGCACACACACACACACACACGTCCACTTGTACGTCCGTATTGAAGAAAGGCGAAGCAGAACGTCGGGACGAACAGACCAAGACTGCAGTTACAAATAGTGTAGGGCACTAAAAAAAAAAAAAAAGAGCACCGACGAAAAAAAAAAAAAATCACTGGGCAAACTCCCAGAGGTCTTAGGGCCTCACGATGATGCAGATAAAACAACGATCTACTTCAGGACAAAATTCAGAAATGAAAAGGAAAATAATATCTCAAACAGAATAATCAACGTTTCACCGATATCATATGAAGCTCACAGTCACTGTCGCGATACGTCAGAAAATGTTGTTTTTAGAGTTTTCTTTAATTTCTTGTTTGAGGTAATGGAAAATATTGAGTCTGGTAAATCATTGAACACTTTCGGCACATAAAAAGCGCGCGTACTTACACCATATCGCGTTCTCACTCGTGGTATGTCGAAACGAGAGGCAGTCCTAAGTTCCCGCGGCGAATCTGATGTGACCTTAAATTCGCTCTCCCAGAAGTGGCGTCAGATCACCGTTTGAAGAAAGAGGGAGTGGAATGAGGGCAGTTCAAGCGAACCAAACAAGTTAGCGTTTGACGAAAATGGTGTGTTATACGTGACGTTCTTGAGGATTGCGTTTAGAATTCGGTCAATTCTGGAATGCCAGAAGAGTGGACAATTAAAACAAATTGTGATCCCGTACCTTAGTATACCGTAGGCCAGAGCGTGCACAACCCTTTTCCTGATGGAGGAAGGTAGGAATCTTTTTATGTTGTATAGCATACAAGACACTGACCTCAGCCGTTGACAAAGATGCGTCATATGAGTAGTCCAAGAAAGATCGCAATCAAAGTAAATGCCTAGGTATTTGATCGAACTAACATATTCTATAGGATCACACTGAGTTCTCAAGCAACCGGAGTTGTGGAGAAATAGCGGATAGGTCAACCTTATATTCTTTAAGGGATTGCAAAAACATATAAGCTTTGTTTTAGAGGCATTTACTCGAAGCTTGTTTACCGAAAACCTTCGGTAATTGTAATATTAACCATCGAAGCCGATGAATCAATCATCGGCTTCGATGATTGATTCAGTAGAGATAATCTTCGAAATGTTTTCACACCTATGTTCGCTTTCTTCGCAAAAAATAGCTGGTGGGTCCAGGGTAAATGACGGAACAAATAAATCAGTTGTTTTTTTAGTGTCGTAAAAAAAAAAAAACATCTTTTCATAAAATTCCCTAAAATGAACCGGATTCTGTCCGAATGTCGTGAAGGGACTGTTTGTCGACACTATATATTGGTTATGATGTGTTATCTGAGATCTTTCTTGAATAAACCTTTTTTCGGGTCACGCAGCATCGTACGGTACGTGCAGTATATTGTTCGATTGGTGAGACTGGTTGGATGTCATGTTGTGAGCGAGGAATACCCATGCCTTTCGGCTTTCTTGAGTGCACTAATATTTTCGACAGTTGATACCCTTGTACACTCTAAAAAAAGCCCGTGCGTCTACTTCCCCGCACGACACTCGGAAAGCCAATCACCGCAACTTACGAAGGCAGCTCAGCGAATGAAGAAGTCGAAACATATGTTTAGACCAAAAAACGCGATCCGAGTTGTGACTTTGAGCAATGCAAAACGTCACGCTTGCATTGCTTAATGTCACAACTCAGACTGCGTTTTTTTCTCTAAACATATGTTTCGGCATCGTCATTCGCTGATCGCCGCAACTGCCTCCGCAAGTTGCGGTGATTGGCTCTCTGAGTGTCGTGAGGGGCAGTAGACGCACGGTATTTTTTTAGAGTGTAGGTTGACACGGCTGAGTGCAGGGCATCGTAAAAATCTGCATAAAGCACAACAAACATTCCACCTGTTTTTGGTTTTGTTCTGTCGCGTACGGGGCCACCGAAAATAGCTTTCATTTGTTTTGTTTTTTCAAAAACTTATACATTGCTTTTTTTTTAAGCAGGGAGAAATTGTATTTGCCGCAAGACACAAACGATGAAATGAAACGGATAAATTTAGCCACAACCAGTGTCCGGAATTTCGCTTACGCGGGCCGTTACTGCTTTTTGAAGAACTCACAGCCCAGCGCAGTCGGCCAACACGGACGTACTGTCTCAAACCCGGGAACACACGGTGTAAACCACTTTATTCGAAAATGTCGCTGGAAATGTCTATAGAATTGAATGCCTAGGCACACATAAAGTCGTAATAGAGAGCTTTCGATGATTGATTCCATACCTTCAATACCCCTGATAACGATAAGATGCTTGGGGAAAAACGGCGACGGTGTATCGGGCATTGCTGTCGGAGTCATCAGAACGATCTACTAAAACTCTCAATTGATCACTTTCCCGATTTGTTTAACTTGTATGGCAACCGCATTTACTGCCCGTGGAATATTTGAGGTGAAACTGCGAGTGGAAAAGCAGCAATGGCCATAGATGCAGCTACAACTAGCTTTTTGTTAGACTAGAATCAGAATTCTCTCGGTCCGCAAAGAGCAACAGTTTCTGTTTCGCGATGAGTTTGAGTCCATTACAGAAAATGACTCCCTGCTTCTTTATCCTGACACTTTGCGGCCGTAAACCCAAAACGATCCCAGCTATATCTCAGGTAGGCTACACTCTGCAACGATGTTGCTTATTTGTGGAAAACAAAATTATGCATTCCCAAATCGAATATAAAAGTCGTGCACATATTCAATTTTTTGCAATCACGATTTCCAACGCAAACTGTGTGTTTGAATATGCACTCGATAACTGGATGGTTACAGAATCTGCAAGTCTAGCAGGCAGAGACGAAAAGGACGCGCAGAATAATTGCGGAAAGCGCCAAAAAGTAAAACATATTTCTGCAAGAATCATCAATGGTACCGAGGCTCTCCCGGATCACTGGCCCTGGATGGTCGCCATCTATAATTCAGAAGACAACTTAATATGCGGAGGGGTCTTAATTGGCGAAGAATATGTGGTAACGGCACCACATTGTTTTCTGTAAGTGATTTTTGTTTTCCCATTTGATGCATGCATGTATTTTTATTTGTTTTCATATAATACTTAATTGCTGTCTCGCATTATCCCAGTCCGTTCTTCGTTAGTTTCAAGGGTTATTCAGCCACTCCCTGTGCAGTGCGATATGAGGCATGAAACAACACACGCATTTCCGCTTTTTTTGCAGCGTGAAGTTCGCGTTTGATGACGGCAGATAATTAGACCAAACACCCGTTAATCAAAATTTTCTTTAAAGTTTAAACATGTACACTGGAAAGACCAGTTCAAACTGGTACCAGTTTCAAACTTGGTCATTGCTCCAGGTTGACCAGTTTCATAATGGTTGAACCGGTCAAAGCGGTTTGAACTGGTCACACTGGTTGACTGGTCATGGCGGTTTAACTGGTCATACTGGTTGACTGGTCATGATGGTTTAAATGGTCATGGTGGTTGAACTGGTCAAACTGGTTCGACAAAAAATATTGTCATTTGTTCACGCCACCACAGCGCTTCGGATATATTTCTTATACACAAATGTAGACACAATACGCCTACTAAAAGCATCAACTGAACATACATTGAGCGGATACACTTACACAGCACATATAAACATAAGTACAACAGCACACTAACGTGATCACTACTACCGAGCTCTGCGTTTCCGTCTTTTATACAGGTCGTTTTGAACGTACGGAATTTCTCGGTGACCGCCTAAGCAATAAACAATATTCCCAGCATGTGAACATTTTTCCAGCAATGTCATACCTCTGAGAGTATTTTAAACGGCCCAGGGGATGAATTTCTCAGTAAAAAGTAAACGCTGATCATGCCGTAAATATTTGAGAGCGAATAAATCAAAGTGAGAAAGCCAAAAGATAAAGGAAGAAAGAGGGGTCAAATCGGGAACAAGTTTGGTCATTCTGGTTACCAGTCCGACCAGTTCGGCCAGTCCGGTGACCAGTTCGGCGTCTGGTGACCAGTTCGGCCAATCCGCTGACCAGTTCGGCCAATCTGGTGACCAGTGTGTCCAATCTGGTGACCAGTTAGGCCAATATGGTGACCAGTCAGGCCGATCTGGTGACCAGTTAGATCAATATCGTTGCCAGTTAGACCACTCTTGCTACCAGTGTCACCAGTTTGATTTCCTCTTAGAGCAGTATGACCAGTCCAAATACCAGTTACACCAGTCCAAATACCAGTCTGACCAGTTAGATTTTCAAACTGGACTTTCCAATAGAGCAATTATCGTGTGTCAGGCATTTAGATTACACGGGGTGAGAAATGTGGCTTTTAAACTCCAATATGAATATCGAACTTGAGGCCACTAAACGATATTGTGCCTGTCAACGGGGTAGGACGCAGGTTGTATCTCAACTGTATTAATTAAATTTGTATATTATTTTTAAATATAAAACTTACTGAGTTCGGTAACAGTAACTGCCTCTGATTTTTCCTCATAATTAAAGAAATCAAGACGCTCATGAGTTTTCAGTTCGTCTGGGAACCACACTCAAAACCAATGTTGCTCAATGCTACACTCCGCAAGATTCTAATATACGCGAAAAGAAAACCAGAAATGCGGAAGTATCTCCAAAATTAGATCAAGAATACAATGAGGATCCTGAAAGCCATGTGGTCTGTGTTGAAGTTGAAAGCATCTGCACCCCTATACAAGACAACTGTTTCCTCTTCATGGTACGTAAATAGCAACGGTCCTAACACCTTTAAATGTAGTGCATCATGCGTTTTTCTATATTACTTTCACAGAAAGACATTGCTGTTGTAAAATTAAAAACAAAAGTCAACTATACTGACTATATTCAGCCAATCTGCCTTCCGAAAAACTGTGTCGATCCCCCTGCAACAAGTACATTTTATGCTGCTGGCTGGGGACTAATATACGGTAAATGGCCTGATTTTAATATTTACTACAGACGCGAATCATTATAAAATACAACTCCGCATTTTGGAATGATTTCACATTTTATATATTAAACTTGTAATTAAAAAAAACTTTTCTAATGCATTTTGTTACATATAGGTTGTACGTTGATCAGACGGTGGTTGGTGTTTCGCGCATGCTGGCATGACCAATAAAACCCGGGAATGTACAAACATTCGTATGGTTTTTATTATTATTTCAAATAAATATTTCATTTACTCCCAGAGTATTACAATCCATATGAATATGAAGATGATCATGAAGTCGAACAAGAAATAGACGACCTTGAGACTCAGAAACCCATAAACAAAACATCAAGTGAAGGAACTAGCGTCGAATCACAAACGGAACAAACAAATTGGCTCACATTTCGACGCCCCAACACACTGATGGAACGAAAATTAAATCTCATGGATCAGGATCAATGCTGTGCCCAAATGAAAAGCGAAGTTCCTGGCTACATCATTTGCACAAATGGAGGAACATGTTTTGTGAGTAAAGAAATTCCTTGAATTGTGCTTCCTACAACACTCAAATATCATATAATAAATCTTATTTCTTCTTGCATCTAAGTTCATAAAGCATGCAGTTCATTTTAGTGTAACCCTTTAGTCCTAAATGTTTGTCCAGCCGATCGTCCGTCCGTCCGTGTCATCATTTCGCCGCTGTTTATCGAGGAAATCGACGTTGGCTGTCCTCTCACGTTACAAAATCGGTTCCTGCGATAAATTGAGCAGGACAAGCAGAATCACGTTACCTGAGCAACAATTTAGTTTCTTCCTTAAATATGGCGAGAAAATAGGGGCAGTGATTTAAAAACCGATTTAAAGGTAATGCAAAATTTACAGAAGAAAATTACATCACATGACCTGTCAGGCGTTCTTTACAGTAATTTAGCTTCCAGCTAAATTTAACGGGAAAATTTTTTACCCGCTAAATAAAGCAAGGAAATATGTGTCACGAGACCTATGCACCAATTCATTTTTTCTTTAACTTTAGGGAGGAAATGAGTCAACATTGAATATCCTTCTCTCCCGAAAGGCTTTAACGTTTTCTTATCAAATTTAGACGAGTGTATCTTAAATAGTGCATCCCATGCATTCCAGGACTTTGAAGATAAATGCCGCTGTGTTCATCTGGTGAAAGACTAAGTTTGTCTCAAGCATCTTGATTTGTCTAGAAGTTTTGAATGATATGTATATTAATCTGAGGTATCTTCAATTTGCTTGTGTGACTAAACTACGTTCTCTACATGATGTAGCACCTTGATTGCACATCAATATTTTCTACTCAAAGAAAGGATACGTTCAGAGCAATATTCGGCGCCACCTTTCTTAATGAGATATGGAGATCGAAGGGATATATCTCCTTCATATGCGCGTGAAACCCGGCACGATCACCACGATCACGTATATTCAATCCGCCGGCGAGCGAGAGCGATCAGACTATTATTGAAGGGATAAATAATTTTTACTAGAGATATTATTAATTACCTGCACTGACGAATATCGTCCAGTCGTGATATTCGGACTGCGGAACAAACAAACGCCCTGTAGACGCACATTCCGACGCAGATAAACGGAAAACATGGCGGAATATTGTTCAACACACGATTGAGCCCGAGCTTTGAGAACTGGTGCGGGTTGAATGGCATGCGAATACATGCAGAGCAACGCTGGACGCGGGTATGCCAGAGCGAAATCGAAGAAGAAGACCGCGGGAGGGTGCAGACGGTACATGGACGCCGCGGGAGCATTAGATGAGGTCTGGGTGGGTAGCGGTTCACTATACGATGCAACGCGAAAGCTGTCGTTAGTGGCGCTGTCAGTCAGCTTCGAAACCAGAGCTGCGCGCCAGATTTAGGTAATAATAATAATAATAGCTTATTCACAGATCCGCATCAAGGTACAAAAAAAAAATAACCGCTTCACAAAAGCACTTGCCTGCTTGCGCGTAAGAATGGGTAGTCCATTCAAACTATGTTTTTACGTGGGTACTCCGTTATCACAATTCTAGAAACACTTTCTTCAAACATCTATTCAGTTCTGAAGTACAAAAAAAATAAAGATAAAGAGAAAAAAAATATTCGTTACAATTTAGATATAACGTACACACTGCCAGGGAAATTGCAGTGTGACCAATGTGCCAAATATTCACAAACAAAAGAACAGTCGTGATTCCAACAGACCACAAAAGCGAGGATAAGGTGTCCCAAGGGAAAATAAACAATGGCAACTAATAAACCAGCGCGTTTTATCAAGGTATCTGGTGCAAATCTACAAGTAACTGCAATACTCTATGTAGTCAGGGAATTGGAGAACGCATGCAGATTTCGCTTCATTGTTAATCTTGTACTCGGCCAAGGTATGCAGAAGAAAATAAAAAAAAAGAGCTCGGGAGAACGACTAGTTAACCTTCAGTTTTCTGTATACACCATTTCCTAGTTTCCTTTTTTTACAGATATTAAGGAGTGGAGAGTGTGAAATATTTAAGGAACTTGGTTGACATATGCATGCACATAAAATATGCGGAGCCTAGTTCCATAGTTAGTCTATATTTTTCGTATCTGAAGCTTTTCCGCGTTTCTCAGTTGCCTTTCTTTGATGGTGGTCATTTTGAACTCGGATATGAAGTAATGATTCGTGAAAATGACAAATTTGCGCAGTTGATTTACTGTCAATGGGTCAGGTTCCGACAGGTGATCTTCAAGCACTATATTTTCAAGTTTGGCTTCATAGGCGATGTTCCGCACCATCCTTTTTATTAAATTAGTTATTCTTTGCGTTTCGAAGTCAGGGTCCATAGATTATAATTCCATATCTTAGTTTTCACTTTGCTAACATTTGCTAAATTAATCGTCTCAGCCAAATGTCCGCGGGGTTCCGCAATCTGTAAAAGTAGGGTGATATTGTTCGTAAGTGATTTATTAGATGATCTTCATGGGAATTCAACGACAGATACTCGGAAAAATACGTGCCCAGATATTTTGTGTTTGTGGTACATGAAAGTGGCGTACAGCTGCACCGAGTGCATTGAGTTGTATGTAAAAAGAGGAGTTTTGTAAGGTTAATACGGCTTTGGTGCGTTCGAAAGCACATTGGTTCTGCTTTTGTCATTGTTGTCAAATATCGATTTTTCAGAAAACTAGTTCATTATATTAATGAGGCCAGTTTGCATGCTTTTGACTGCATTGCCATAATTGTTTATTTGCCAGGACTAATGCTGTATCGTCAGCGTATTCATAGAGGTTAGATTTTAGAGGCAGTTAGGCAAGACCGTTCATGTAGATGCTAAAAAGCATAGGGTTCAATAGAGATCCCTGAGCCCCGCCGCAAGCTGTGTGCAGAGAGTCACTGAAGCATTTTTCTTGCCTAACTCGTTGCGTCAGGTTGGAAAAGTAATTTTTAAATAAATCTACCAAGTTCCCCTGAAAGCCAAGGTTTTCTTTGTTATGTAGTAATATGGAATAGTCAATTGTGTCAAATGCTTTTTTAAGGTCAAGAAGTGTTGGAAGTACTACATTACTAGAATCCATTTTTAGTTCACGTAATATGTCACGGCTTCACTTAAAAACGTAGTAGAAAATTGTTTCTGAAAGCCTTACGAGGTGGGGTGTTGCTAATTAGTGAATATTGCTCACAAAAGTAGCTCATAATTTTTAAAACAACTCTCCTTTATTTGCGAGATGACGGACATTACTGCGGCGGGCCTGTAGTTGGCCTAATTCATTTTACCCTCTTTTTTTCTAAACAAGTAGGACTATCGCAACCTTAATGTTATCAGGTATAATACCTGTCTTCTATGTTCCTTTTATTACCGCCAGCAAAACATGATTTAAGTTGTAATAGTTCACTTTTATGTATCGATGTCTTAGTTGATCATATCCCGCCGGTTTTATGATTGGTAGACTGTTAATTATATATTCTAGATCTGTATTTGTCGTTTGTGGTATAGGTATGCCGAGTAATGTACATTCAAAGAGTGGCTTTCCACTGTCTGTGTATTGTTTACTGCCTCGCGCAAATCTTGTACAACTTTAGCGAAGTTGTTATTGAAATTGTTACTGAGAGTATTGCAATCGGTGACTCCAACGTTTTTCTTTATACATTCCTCAATCCTGTCTTCAGGTGGTTTTCCCATTTTTTTATTCAGAATATTCCACGTTTTCCTTAGGTTTTTCCTGCAATTCTGGAGTTATGTCAGATTGAAACTCTTTTTTGCGAGTCTAATCTTCTCCGTAACTCTATTCTGTACCTGCCTGAACTCTTTCTTTACTGTTCGATCTTTGGAGTTTTGCTTACATCTATTTCAATATTTTTTTTTTATAACTTACTTCTAATATTTTGTCGTTAATCCAGGCAGCTCCCGACTTCCGCTGTTCCAGTCTGATTGTTTTAATAGAGCTGTCATATATTCCTTTAAATATGGCTATCACTCTTTTGAAAAGGTTTTGGTTGTCTAGGTGCAACAAAGCGCTCCAGTTATATATTTTAATATTGCTTTCTATATTTGGTTATCTAGAATTACCTTGAATCGTTTTCCCGGCGAGCTTTTAGTCTCGGCATCACGTATAATTTTTGAGCGACAAAGTAGTGATCTGCTACTTCTTGTTTCATTAATGCCGCGCTACAATTTTCGGTACAAGTACGCCGTATTATATACTCAATACACGCTTTTGTCACTTTATCACCGAGGTATTCTTAACGTGTGTAACCGTCAATTATATTTTCCAGTTCGAAGTTTTACATTATATCAAGATTTTTTTACTCCTGTTTTGCTGGGGCACATAACATCGATGATGAAATCGCCTGCTAGTATGACATGGTCATTGTTATTAAACCGTTCAAGAGATTTATGAGCTCATTGTAGAACAAGTTTTTTTTACCACTGGGTGGTCTATAGAATGCAGCTATCGTAAATGGCACTTCAGGCCTATGAACAGTGAAGACAAGAACTTCTGCATGATTTATAAACACCTCCTCACGATCCGAAAACCAATCATTTTTATGTAAGCTAATATTTCTTCCTTTTTTTTGCCATCTCGACGTATTGAAAGTGAATAGAATCTATATATATGAAACGGTGACGGTTCTTTTGCCCCAATGTTTACTTCAGTTAGTATTATTACATCGATATCTTCGAGCGAACTAGTAAGGTATACGTTGGGTTCATCCCAATCTTTTTAATGCTTCTGATGTTAATGGGAACGACATGTAGGAGCTGTTCTTTTTCCTTTCCTCTTTCGCTACTATTTTTTTTACATATCTATTCCAGTCGTTAAGTGTGCTACACGTGGTCTTTTTATCGAATATTGTTCAAGTCATCTACCCTGTCGCTACGTATCATTGCCGATCCTTCGCTTTGCCTGTCCAGTATTTTTCCATTTCTCATGAAAACAAAGCTGTATCCACTTTTCCTTGCACATTCCTTTGCTTTCCAGAACAACCATTTATGCAGCTTTGTCAACTTCTCATTGATGAAGATATTATTC